TACCAGGGACTGAACTCAGGGGCACTCAACCACTGAGCCCCATCCCCAGCCCTGTTTTGTGTTTTATTGAGAGACAGGGTCTCACAGAGTTGCTTAGCACCTCGCTTTTGCTGAGGCTGGCTTTGAACTTGCGATCCTCCTGTCTCAGCCTCCAGAGTAGCTGGGATTACAGGCGTGTGCCCCACCATGCCTGGCTCCGAGGATTTATCTAAATCTCTGGAATATGTGTGGAATCCAGTCCATTCTCGTCATTGTCCCCTCCCCCTGCCCTCTAGCCTGGGTGGTGGCCTTAATCTCCAGGCTGTTCACCTGCCCTTGCTCTGTGCATTTCATTCTCCACACAGCAGCTCAGGGACCCTTTAACTGCTTGGTTACTCCTCTGCTCAACATCCTCAGAGTCTCCCCAAAGCACTCAACGTGAACAAAGCCAGAGTTCTCACAAGGGCACGGAGACCTGGCATGAAAACCCTCCCACCGTCGCCACCTCATCTTCCTTCTCTGCCCACTCAAGCCACAGTGACTGCTTAGGTGCGTCTAGAGCGCATCCTGCTGTCTGTCCCAGTGCATTTACATCAAAGATTCTCTCTGCCCGAGTGGGACGGGAAAGTCTGCATGCCTGGTCCCTTGATTTCTGCGAGTCTCTTTGCCACCCGGTAAAGCCTCCCCTAATTAAATTTTATAAAATAACAACATGCTCCACACTGGGAATACGAGCACATCAGAACTCCTCTGATTTATTTTCCTCTAGGTTATTTAATACCATCGGACACATTCTACTTGTATATTTTTTCATTTTCCGTTTCCCATCCAAAATACACATGCCGGAGGACAGGGACTTTTTTTTTATTCATGCCGAATCCCCAGTATCTAGTCCAATGCCTAAGTACATAGTAGGGACTTTATAAGTATTTAAAGGAAATGCACAGAACCAGGTGCCTGTAACTCCAGTGACCCAGTAGGCTGAGGCAGGATTGCAAGTTCAAGGCCAACTTCTGCAACTTAGCGAGGCCCTAAGCAACTTAGGGAGACCCTTTCTCAAATTTTTCAAAAATTAAAAAGGGCTGGAGATGTGGCTAAGTGATGAAGCAATCCTGGATTTAATCCCTGGTTCCAAAAAAATAAAGAAGAAAGAAAGAAAATGCATAGTCAAGTCTAGTGGCTCATGACTATAATTCCAGCAATTTAGGAGGCTGAGGCAGGAGGATCCCAAGTTGGAGGACAAACTGAACAACTGAAAATTTAAAAAAAAAAAAAAGTTTTTCAAAGGCCTGAGGATGTATGTCGCTCAGGTGTAGAGCCCTAACCTCTTGGGTTTGGTATCCAGAACTGTGCCCATACACACACACACACACAGTTGGAGAGGGTGAGACAAACTAGGATCCTTCATCTTTCAGTCTCTGCAGAACCTCAGTGTCCCTGATCCTATCCCCAGAAGGAAGTTGGGAAGGCCACTACGAGGGGAAGATGCTTCCTCTTCCCGCCCCTCCAGGTTGGCTCTGAGGGGCTGGACTCCCCTTTTCCCTCGGCCCTTCCGCTTCTTGGGCTGATTCTCCGAGCCTAGTACCAGTCAGTGCCAGTTGGCAGCTCTTACCGGAGACTGAGGTGGCACGAATATGGGAGAGGGGGAGAGAGTGGGCAGGGGCCCAAGGGGAACAGAGACCCAGAAGTAAGAGGTTGTCATCAGAACTGGGTGGCCGGCTGAGGGTTTCATGGGACGAGGGACAGCCTAGGCGGGGGATCCTGGGGGTTTCCAGGGGAAGTGGGTAGGTGCCAGGCCCCCCACCCTCTGGCCCCTGGAAAATCCTGTCCTCTTCCCCACCACCTACTTTCCTCTCCAGTCACCCCTTAAGCCGCCCCTGGCTAATTCTTCTTGGTCTCTTTAAGAGCTGCCTGGGAACTGGGACACCAGAGGGGGCTGGCAGGCATCCCCCTCCCCTCCCCTGCCGGTCCTGGCTCCGCCCCCTGCCCCCAAAGAGATTCGGCTGGAAGACTTGGACGCCTGGGTTAGGGTCTGCACTCCTGGGCTGGGGGTAAGGCTGGAAAGTGGCGGAGGAGGGGAGCGGGTTCTCTGGGGTGGGCTGCAGGGTTGGGACCAGATTCCTGGGCGATGGACCTGGGTATCTAGGTGCCAGCTTCAGTGGGTAACATAGGGGGTGGCCCTCTGGCCTCGGCTGGGGGGAAGGGCAGTGGCAGAGAACTTGAGGGGCAAATCCTAAAGGGCAGGAGCCCGGGCCTAGTCAGCCTCACTCTCCTGTTTCATTATCCCCACGACCCTCATTTGCTCAGCTGCACCAGCCATTTCCTGCCCCTCCCACAGTCAGACACAGCGGATCACCTGGTCCTTCCCAAAGGTGGGGAAACCGAGGCTAGGAAACCAGAGGAAATGAGCTGTGTCCAGCAGCGGGGAAACGGAGCCGGCAGAGAGCTACGGAAAGCCCGCTCCACCGCAGAGATCCGGGAACAGCAGACCTGGCACCCAGGTCAACCGGCAGGTTCCCCATGGCAGCCACCAGGCAGGACCAAATCCCTGCTCTCTCAGCAGGGACATCGAGTTCTTTTCTGGAAGTTTGGACTTCCGGAGGTCAAGGCCAGGAGAGACCCCCCTGAGGTCCAGCTGGGTAACCCAGAGAGAAGCGGAGCCAGGAGAGACCTGGAGACTTCCCCTGGGACACTTCAGAAATGCAGCCCCTTCCAATTCTGCCTCGGAGGCTGGACCCCTTTCCCAGAAAGAGGAGACCATGGAGACAGGGCCCCAAGGACTTCCAATGAGGGGGTGGGGCTTTCTGCGTTCCCCCTTCCTCTTTCTGCTACAGTTTTCTTGAATTCCTTCCATCGTGATCCCAATAATTTTCCCCCTGTTAGCGCGTGTCCCTGTCCGGGGGTGAGGATTCTGAAGCCCCCAGGCCTGGGTGCTGAATGGCAGAGAGGATGGAGTGCCGGGAAGGAAGCGTGGGCGGATGTGACAGTGACTCTGCTCAGAGGTCACTTCCACTTTCAGCACATGCCATGTCCTCCTCGCCCCACCCCAGGAGGAAAGCTCACCCACCACACAGCCTGCCTAGACCTAAGGGGGAACCAGAGCTGCTCTGTGAAGTCTCCGGCCCAGGGCAGCTGCAACATGCTCACTTCCTATTTCCTAAAAATACTATTAAGTCTGGAGAGAGCCAGGCTGGTCCCAGGTGGCAGGAAAGCCATCAGCCACCATTTTGCTTACATGAGCTAGAGAGGGCAGGTGCCCTGCCTGGGTTCACACAGCAAGTTAGAAGCAACCAGTTCCAGGATCCAGGGCAGAGGTGCCTTTTTCTCAGTCCTCCTGTATGCCGAGAGACCAGCCTAAAAGGGACTTTTTTCTCAACTCCTCACTTACCAGGGAAGAAGTTGAGGCCCTGCAGGGACAGATGGGGACTCTGGTAATAGGGGTGCTTAGGACCAGCACTGAGAGGGGACATAAAGACCCACCTAACCCTCTACCTACTGCTTAGATAAGAAGGGATTCCCAGGGAGCAGAAACCCAGGGAAACTGGCCATCAAGGGGAATGGTGGACGCCAGCTGATGCCCGGAACCCAGCTGGGGAACATCTGCATAGTGGTGCCTGCCTGAAGGTGGGCCAGGGGCTGAGCAGGGATGGGGGCTGACGTCCCCCTCTCCTTGCCTCGCCCCCACATGGAGCCCCTCCTCCTCCACACATGTGGATCCAGGAACCACAGAAGGTGGGGCACAGTGGGATCAGGAGGAGGAGGAAGAATATGGGGAGATTCTAGTCCCTCCCACTTAGAGATGCGGTCGCCATGGTGACTAAGGACCAGTGAGGCGGGATGGGGTTGGGGATGGGGGTGGGGGTGTGGCAGGGACGAGGCGCCGGGAGTCGGAACGCCGGGCATTCCAGGGGGAGGGAAGCGGCATTCCCCAGCTCCAGGTAAGGGAGCCCGAGAGCTGAGCGACAGTCCTCAGGAGGAGGCGGGCCATTGTCTGGGGCTGGCGCTGCCCCGAGGAGGGGGCAGACGAGGGGTCGGGCCATTGTGTGCGATGCCGAGCGCAGTCTTCCAGCACGAGTCAGACTGAGCCAGGGACCCAGGAGGCTCTGGGTAAGGGGTTAGGAGGCACCGGCGGAGTGGGCGGCAGGAGGCTGGGTGGGAAGAGGCGGGAGGACGCCGGGGAACCCCCGGGTGCCCGCATACAGTAGGCACTCAGCGCACTTAAGTTGATCTGACTCGCTGGTGATCATAGAAAGAAGGCAGGCCCGGGAAGTGCTGTGGGTCTGAGGAAGGGGAGCCAGGAAGCAGATGTTCCCCAAGTCTGCGCTCTGTGGAGGGCTGCCCCTGAGGCTGGGGGGGTGGGGGGATCCGAACCTACCAGGTCATCGGTGAGACCTGACTCCAGGAGCCCTCCCCTCAGTGAGGCGCCCCTGCTCTGCAGGGAGACCTGGGGGTTGGTCGAAGTTCCCAGGTAGCTGGGGTAGGGTGGGAAGCAATCCCTCCGTCTCCCCTCCCGCCTCTGCTCTGGGCAGTGAAGCCTGGCAGGAAAGGGCTATGGTCGCCTGTGGTCTAAGGCTGTGGAGGAGGAGTCTGGGGAGGAGCCGGACCCTGGCAGGCGTGGTGGGGGGGTTGAACTCGGCATTGTCACGCTGGGGGTCCCCAGGTGGGGCTGTAGGCCTTGTGAAGCAATAAGGGGGGAAGCCCTAGATTGGGGCCATGGATATGGTATCGCCCCTACAGCTTGTCCCCTGAACACCTAACCCACTGCCACCCCACCTGACCTGCTGCCCCAGAGTGCTTCCCCTCTCCGGCCTCAGTTTCCTCATTTGTACAGGGAGGGCGGAGGTGGGGACCTGCTGGCTCTGAGCTTCCTGTGGGCAGGACCTGCTGCATGATTTGTGCAGCCAAATGTGTGCGAAGTGAAAATGTGGGTCCCCTGTTCAGAAATCACTAAGACTTTCAAAACAGCACCCGGCCAGGCGTGGGCCCTTCTGAGCCAGGGACGGATGACTGTGCTGGTCATGCATCCCTGACGCTGGCCTTGGCCGTGGGCTCTGCCGGCTGCAACCTGTGAGACTTTGAATCTGACTTCAGAGGCTCCGCGGTGGGAGGGGTGCGCTGCTGGGGACAGAGTGCCCCTCCTTCCCACTGGGCTCTCTGCCAGAACTAGACCCTTGTGAAGGCCCTTGTGAAGGCCGGGGGTGATGGTGGGGAGGCAAGGAGGTGTGCTGGCCTCTCTTTAGGCAGGTTTCTGTTCTCTCTGAATCGGGAATCACCCCGGAGATACTGTGTTTTAGCTGAGATAGAGCTTGCTATCTCCCCCCCCACACACACTTACCTTCTCCTTCCCAGGGGCTCTGAACTGAGTTTCCTTGGGGGGAGGGGGATGAGGGGGGAGGGGGTGGATTGAGGGAGCAGGGCTCCAGGGAGACGGTAAAGCTAAGGAATTAGCAGCTTCTGAATGAAGTAGAGCTGAATTTAACTTGGCTTCTAGTTATGTCACCTCCTTGGTCCTCACTTTTCATCTCTCTAAAATGGGATTGTGTTAGATTGTTGGTGATGTGCGCCTGGAATGCACGAGCCCGTGGGTTTGATCTCCAGAACTGCAAAATAAATAAATAAAACAAAGTAAAAAATAAAAATAAAATGGGATTGTGACCAGGCGTGGGGGTGCTCATCTGTAACCTAGCAACTCTGGAAGCCGAGGCAGGAAGATTGCAAGTTCAAGGCCAGCCTGGGCAACTTAGTGAGACCCTGCCTCAAAAAAAAAAAAAAAAAAAGTGCTGGATATATAGCTCAGTAGTAAAGCAGCCCTGGATTCAGTCCCCAGTACTGCAAGAATAAATAAGTAGAATAAAATGGGAGATTCAGTCCCCAGTACTGCAAAAATAAATAAGTAGAATAAAATGGGATTGTGGTGGCAGGGACCTGCTGAAATTGCTGGCAGGACCCAGAAGTCAACAAGTCAACAGTACCACTCTCCAAGTGGGATGGAGGGCTGGGGAGAGGAGGTCTGGTTTGAAGGGGAATCCTGGGTCTTGCAAGGAGGAAGTAGTACAGGGTATTGAGTCTTCCACCGCCAGAGAGGCGGGAATAAGGCACCAGACGGGGAGGAGTGTGGCTGGGAGGAGTGTGGCACTGGAACTCCCGCCTCTGGTTCCCCATCGGATCTCCTCCTGGTGACCCAGATAAGCTAATCTGCTCAAATGGAGAAGGCCTTGGGGCAGGTTGGCTTCCCAAATCTGAGCTGGGGGGGTCAAGGAGCCTTTGCAAATGCGGTCAGGAGAATGGAAGTTTCCTTTGATTGTGAGAGCCTGGCAGAGATCTGGCAATCAGCCTCCAAGAGACTTTGCAGGAGTCTTATGCAAGTCTGACAGAAAGGATGGGTCAGGAGGGGTCTGTGTGAAACCAAGCCCCGGGGAACTGAGAGATGATGGGAGCAGGAAGAGAAGAAAGATGGCCAAGTGGGGTCTGACAGGGAATTTTAAGGAGTAGTGGGCCATATCCCCGTCCTTGTCGACTGGCGCTGTGGCAAGAGGGATGGGAGTTAAACTACAGGAAGGACTTCCTGGTAGTGAGGAATGTGCACTTAAGATGGAGGTGGGTTTTTTATTGGAGTTGGATTGGCCGTGGGACATCTGTGCTCTTTAACCTGTAGTCAGCTGACCTGGCTGAGTGGGCAGGAGCCTCCTCACTTTATAGGCCACAGTGCCTCATTAACCCTGCATTATGAGGTCCCCCTGGAGTCTTTACAGAGGAATGAACAGCCACCATTAGGGGCTGGGTGCCTCAGAAGCGTATTTCATTAAACATGAGCTCAGACGGGAAATTTCCTGGGCTTCCCACTGGCCCAGTGCTTCCCGAGAATGATGCCGATTACATTACAGGAGGGACTTCCTCACCAGAGTCGTGAATAAGAGCCTAATGCAATTGTTTTCATCTTTTAAAGATTGTGGGCTTGCTGGGCATTGGTGGTACACGCCTGTAATCCCAGAAACTCAGGAGGCTGAGGCAGGAGGATCTCAATTGCTAGGCAATTCTGGACAACTTAGCAAGACCCTATCTCAAAATGAAAAAGGGACTGGGGAGCCCAGCATGGTGGCACACGCCTGTAATCCCAGCAACTCAGGAAACTGAGGCAGGAGGATCATGAGTTCAAAGCCAGGCTCAGCAACTTAGTGAGGCCTAAGCAACTGAGCGAGACCCCCTGTCTCTAAAGAAAATATTTTAAAAGCGATGGGGATATGGCTTAGTTAGTGGTTAAGCATCCCTGGGTTCAAAACTGGTAACCCCCCCCCCAAAAAAAAATGGACTGGGGATGTAGCTCAGTGGAAGAGTGCTCCTGTGTTCAATCAGGAATAAATAAATAGAATAAAAAATAGTGGCTCAACCAAAAGTGGGAGTTTGAAGGTCAGACTGCTATAGGGACTTCCCAGTGTGTAGGTGTGGTAAGGCCCCCACCGTACGGGTAAGTGAAAAGAGGAATATGAAAGACCATGACACCACGTCTCCTATCTGAGAAATCTTGGGCAGGAGAAACCACAGCTGGGCTGGTTAGACTGGCTGGATAGAGAGGCAGGAGAATCACTGAAGTGACCCAGAAGGGCCTTTTCAACTTTCTGGATAGATTGAGGCAAGAGGCGGGCGGGCGGGAGGGAGGGAGAGAGGTGTGTCTCCTGGGAGGCTGGGAGGTTTTCTTTTTCCCCTCCCAACCCACTGACTTCCGCCCAAGCCAGGATCTGTCACAACTCGAGGTGGAAATTCTGGTTTCCCTGGCCAGGACTCCTGCGCTGGCTGGCTTTGGGACGATGGGTGCCTGGAGGACCGTGCTCCCATTGCAGCCCGGCTGAGCCTTCTCTCCCCCGCCTCCGGGGCCTGCGAACCTCCTCCTTCTTTCTCTGAGTCTGCCACTGGGGGTCCCCGCTGTGGCTGGTCCAAGGGGATGTGAGGTGAGAGGGGCGACCGGGGTCAGTGATCTTGGGGGAGTGTGCAGCAGAGCCCCAGGGAGGCCCCAACAGGGGCAGAGAGACAAGACAGAAAGGGGACAGCTGCAGAGGCTGGGACGACACCGCCACCCAGGCCTCCCCTCAGGAAATACTGGTAGCCAAGCTGGCTGATGGACTGGCATCACCTCCCTGGAGATGAGGGCCAGGTGGGCCTCGGAGTCAGAGACCCTGAGCCCCCTGGCGCTGGGGGAGCGGTGAGAGCAGGCCGACTCAGATGGGGTGCCTGCCGGGGTCCCGGGTGAGTACGGGGCACGGAGTGTCAGCAGATCTAGAGGTGATGGGAGAGTCCAGTCCAAAGAATCTATATTTTGAGTATAGGAACTTGCTCCCCAGAAAGTCCCCTGCCTAGGGCAAGCAATGATTTGGAGAGGGGAAGACTAGGAAGAAAAGACACAAAGACTTCCCCGAGAATAAGGTCAGAATTGTGGAAGCAGCCAGGCGAGGTGGCCCATGCCTGTAATCCCAGCAGCTCAGGAGGCTGAGGCAGGAGGATCAAGAGTTCAAAGCCAGTAGTGAGCAATTTAGTGAGGCCCTAAGCAACTCAGTGAGACCCTTTCTCTAGATTATATATGTGTGTGTGTGTGTGTGTGTGTGTGTGTGTGTACAATATATAATTATTTTTTTAAGGGCTGGGCATGTGGCTCAGTGGTTAAGCACCCCTGGGTTCAATGCCTGGTGCCAAAAAAAAAAAAAAAATTAGAGCAGGGCTACAGGTGGGAAGGACCAGGGTGGAGAGTGCCAGGGCCCCTACCTTGGGGGCAAGCTAAGCCGCAAGCTGAGTGCGATGGAAGCGAGACGAGACTGAGGCCATTTCAGATGGGGAACTGTGCCCTCCCCTGTACCCTCCCCGCCGCCCCCCCCACACACACACTATACACACTTCTGCTGCCTGGGGCCCTGCGATTGGTCCTCAGTGAGGATGTGGTAAGAACTGGTCATCCAGAAAGTGCCCTGGTGCCTGTTTCTTCAGAGCCATCTGGTGATAGCTTCTGGCTGAGCATGGCCCTCCCAGCCCTGGGCCTGGACCCCTGGAGCCTCCTGGGTCTCTTCTTCTTTCAACTGCTGTTGCTGCTGCTGTCGCCGCTGACTGCAGAGAGTGGTGGGCAGGGACCTATGCCCAGGGTCAAATACTATGCAGGTAAGTGTCAGATGGGGAACACGAACTGGGGGGAGAGGAGGAAGGGGAGAGGGGGGAAATAGATATGAAGAAACAGGGTGCCAGGCAAGTGTTAGGCAACCACCGTGTGTGTGTGTGTGTGTGTGTGTGTGTGTGTGTGTGTGTGTGTGTGTGTGTTGAACCTGAGCCTTGTGCATGCTAGAAGAGCACTTCTGCCACTGAGCTACATCCCCAGCCCAAGAAACAGAGAGGCGGAGGACCTGGGTGAAAGAGAGACAGTCAGAAATAGAAATTAAAACTGAGAAGCCACCTACCTGAGCTACAGATTCAGGGAACGGGCGAGAGGGGTCCCAGGTTCTCCAGGGCACCGCCTCTTTCATTTCAGCAAAGTGGGTGATTTCTTTTTTCCTTCCTTAAATGTCACCTTAAATCTGGGGCACCTTAAATCCCTAACCGCTTTCACGCCCCCAAGTGCCCCAAAGTCGAGGCCCATGCTGGAGGATCATCTGCAGATCTGGTGACCCAGGGCATACCAGGCGCAGGTAACCGGTGGAGATCACGCTGGACCATTCCCTGTCCATAGACACCAGGAGTGTGAGCACTGGGAAGTGGCCCCTGGGCCCCTGCAGGCACAGCTCGGCTGGTTTTCTACTGAGGCAGTGGAGATGCTGGTTCTTTTATCTCTAGGGAGAGGGTTCAGGGAAAGACATGGCCCCTGTAGGACTCCTAGGGACAGGTCTCCCGGGCACAGCTGTGACTTTCACATCTTTCTGGGGCCACCTGGTAAAGGAAATGTAGTTGCCTATTTTTGTTGATCTGGCCCTGGCACTTGAACCCAGGGGTGTTTTACCACAAAGTCACATCCCCACCCTTTTTTAATTTTTTAATTTGAGGCAGGGTCTCACTAAGCTGCTTAGGTCTTGCTCAGTTGCTGAGGCTGGCTTTGAACTTGCAATCCTCCTGCCTCCGCCTCCTGAGTCTCTGGGATTACGGGCGCGTGGGCCACTGTGCCTGACTTTAGTGCCACCGATGGAGAGGCCTCCTCTGGGTAGCCCTTCTCTCACGGAGCTCAGCCTCAGAGCGGTTAGGGAGTAGAATGAGCAGACACTCGTGATGGTCAGTTTGGTAACTGAGGGGTGTGCACGGTTCTGGGGGAGGCCTGGGCTTCCTGAGGCCAGCCCTTTTAGGACCTTCCCCACTTTCTTCTCCAACTTCCCTTAGTTGTCAGATACCCTGAGCCTGCAAAGGTAACAGGAGCCAGGCAGCCCGCTTGTGCTAAGATGTGTGTTGAGAGAGGAATCGAAGAGCTCCTATCCCCCTGGCTGATGGGCTCATGGGACACACACACACACTCACACACACACACACACACACCACCACCAGCACCATTACCACCACCATCATGCTATACTGGGGCAATGTACAGGACCTAAATGAGCCTCCCACAAACGGATGACATTGAGGTGTGGCCACCCAGACCTCAGAAGGGGAGAAAACATGTCTCCTCTCTGTACAATTTCTGGTGGTGGAAATTTCCTGTCATAGAGGAGGGGAAGGAGGTGGGTTAGTGGAGGAGGTGTCAAGAGAGACTCTTCCCCCCTCCCTCGACACTGTCCTGTCTGTCCCTCCTTTTCCTGTTCGTGGCTGGAAACACCTTTCTACCTGTCCCTTGGACTGCTGAGCCCCTCCCAGTGGGGATCAAGGTGCCATTCCCAGGCTGTCATTACACTGTCCCTGACAGCTTCTCTCTGCTGTGGACTCCACATGCAAAGCCCCCGTGACTGCCAGCAGGGTGGGGAGCCGGGGCTGCAGGTGGAGAGGACTGGGTTCAGCTCCGAGGCTGGACGTGCTCGGCTCCCAAGGTCCCTCTCCCAGACCTTCTGCTGCTCTTGCCAACCTTGACCTTGTCCTGCCTTTGTCTTGGGAGTCGGCTGCTGCCCATCAATTTCTGCTCACTGTCTCCTTCTCACCGACAGGGGATGGACGCCGGGCACTGAGCTTCTTCCACAAGAAGGGCCTCCAGGACTTTGACACTCTGCTCCTGAGTGGTGATGAGAACACTCTCTATGTGGGAGCTCGAGAGGCCATTCTGGCCTTGAATATCGAGGATCCAGGAGTTCCGAAGCTGAGGAACATGGTGAGGATGTTGGGGGTGCGCTGGGAGGGTGCCCGCGGATGAATAACACCCCAATGGCCATTAGTGCCATCAGCAGTAAGCAGCCATTCTTGTTTTATATCTTGACAGTATAACCGACAGGAAATGTTATTGTGACCTCATTTATTATCACAAATATTGGTTGAATGATATAACTGTTAAAATGGCTGGTCTGGAAATCATTGACATAGAAGATAAACATTGACTCAAATCATATCAATAATTTGATATCCACCCACGGAAGCTTCAGGGAGGGAGAGAGGAACAGGAAGGAAGGAAGAGAGGGTGTTAGCAATCACTGGTCAATTCCATGGTGTAGTCTGAGTGTGGCCTGTCGACCACTTGCATCTATGTGATGCTGGCAAAAAACACCAATTTTCTGAGGTGTGTCCCAGGAACAGATGCTTTAACAATGGCTCCGGGAAATGTGTGACCTGACAACTGTTGCCGTGTATATGATGCTTTGCACTGGGTGTTTATGTAGACTACCTGGGGTGTCCATCCGCACACAGCCTGCGACATTGACCAAGATCACTTAGTAAGGGCTAGAGCCTCCATGGGAACTCAGGTTTGTCTGATTTCTTAGGCAATGTCCTGCCATGGACCTGGGTCCTGGCGAATATTAGTATCAACAGGTTAATAGCCCTGATCACAAATAGATGTTGTTATGGTCCATTAGCATGTAATTAACCACCATGCCTACTGGCGGTCTCATGCCAGACCTGAGAAGGGGATGGCAGGGCACAGAAGAGCTAAAGACCCCATTTCCCTTGGTCTCCCCTTCCCAACTCTCTATTTCAGATACCTTGGCCGGCCAGTGACAAAAAGAAGAGTGAATGTGCCTTTAAGAAGAGTAACGAGGTAAGTAGAGGTGGGGACATGGTGGCTCTGGGTAGAGAACCCCGGTATCCCTAAGGCCATCATGGGATGACCTTAGATGGAAGTGAGCCTCTGGGGGTCCAGGAGTTTGGGGAAAGGGTCTGGAGGTCTGATTCTCTGTCTCCCCCAGACGCAGTGTTTCAACTTCATCCGTGTCCTGGTCTCTTTCAACGCCACGCACCTCTACGCCTGTGGCACCTTTGCCTTCAGCCCAGCTTGCACCTTCATTGTGAGTCAGCTGACACCCAGCACACAGGCCCCCGAACGTCACTTCTCACACCTACCCCAGCCTGTCCTCTGTAGCTCTGGAAAACTCTGGTCCCTTAGGACCCTCGTGAGCTTCCTGGCCCCAGACAAATTCCCCTGTTGGTCCCTCTCCCTTCCTCCTCATGCCCCTCATTTCCCAGATGTGAGACCCTGGCATTCTGGGCCCCCAGCCTCTCTCCCCCTCTAGGGACTCCAAGATTCCAACCTGATACCCATCTCAGACAAGGTCATGGAAGGGAAAGGCCAAAGCCCCTTTGACCCTGCTCACAAGAACACAGCTGTCTTAGTGGGTGAGTGTCAGGCCTCCTGGTCCATCCCAACATCAGCCTTTTCTAGTCACTGTAAAATATGGAATATGACAGAGAGGTGATCCAGGAGCCTCAGAACCCAAGATTTAGAGGAGAATCAGGCGTCTCAACCACCAACTCCTACTGGAACTGCCATAAGGAGATGGAGGGAGACAGGGAGATGTGGAGAGAAAAGAAGCGAGACACCTGGGAAGGGTGTCAGGCAGAGAAGAGAACTGGGTTCAGTCATTGTTCAACAAATGTGTACGTGTGCAGACATCTCCTCTGGTGGGCCAGACATGGGGCTGGGTATTAAAGCGGTTACAAAGAAGAAATCATGGCCCGATGCCTTCCCAGACACAAACCATTGCAGTCTTCCCACTCTGACTTCCCGGAGGAGGTGCCTTTGACTTCTGAGCAGGGCTTAAAAGATCTCAGGTAGAGGGACACGGAAGGTGCTCCGGGAAGAGAAAGGGAGGACCCAAGGTGTGCAAGCAGAAAGTGCAGTCACCCTCTGAGATCAGTGAATGCAAGTGGTTCAGCTGGTATGTGAGGGAGTAAGCAGAGAAAGGCTGGAAGAGTGCCCAAACACAAAAGGTGACTCTGGTTATTTCCTGTGGAAAGGGGCACCTAAAAAACGTGTCTGGTGTGCGCATGCCGGGTGTGGGTGTGTGTTAGCTGGGTTTGGGGGCTCTGCAGGAAGATGTAGGAAGAATAAAGGGGCCAAGTTGGCCCCCGTCATAGGCAGGGCAGGGCACCCTCCGTCTGCTAAGTTCTCCTCTCCTCCCCATCCTCCGGCCCTAGATGGGATGCTCTATTCTGGCACGATGAACAACTTCCTGGGCAGTGAGCCCATCCTGATGCGCACGCTGGGCTCGCAGCCGGTCCTCAAGACTGACACCTTCCTCCGCTGGCTGCACCGTAAGGATCTGACTTCCAGCCAGCATGGGTCTGGCCCCTTTCCGAGTCTGGGACCATGCACTGAGTGTTAATTCAGTGCACACTATGCGTGCATACTAAGAGTAGGTGCATTACTCTTAGGCACGGGGGGTGGGGGTGTTTCGCAGGGAAGAAGACAAACCTGCAGTTCTCATGAGGTTTTCATCTTATGTAGATAAATTAAACAGGCAGCGCGCATGCACGCACGCACCATCCCAAGCTGTGGGATCTGAGGCAGCCCGTGTCATGGACCCCAGAACCAACCCAAGGGCTTTCACCAAGGGAGGTAACCCCGGCCATCAAGGTGCTCACCCCTAATCCCATTCCCCCCGCCCCCCGCAGCGGACGCCTCCTTCGTGGCAGCCATCCCTTCGACTGAGGTCGTCTACTTCTTCTTTGAGGAGACAGCCAGCGAGTTCGAATTCTTTGAGAAGCTCCACACCTCCCGGGTGGCTAGAGTCTGCAAGGTCTGCTGCCTGGGCGGGAGGCGGGTCTGTCCGCGGGGGAGCCAATGGGGAGGTAGCAGAGGCGGGGCGGAGTTCCGGAGGCCCAATGGGAGGGCTGGTGGGCGGGGCCGAGGCGCCCCCTGACGGCTTGCGCTCCCGCAGAATGACGTGGGCGGTGAAAAGCTGCTGCAGAAGAAATGGACCACTTTCCTGAAGGCCCAGCTGCTCTGCACCCAACCAGGGCAGCTGCCCTTCAACGTCATCCGCCACGCGGTTCTACTGCCCGCCGATTCTCCCTCCGTTCCCCACATCTACGCAGTCTTCACCTCCCAGTGGTGAGCCGGAGGGCGGGAATACCTGGGCTAGGAGAACATCTGTGGCCAGGGCTCCCTGGCTCTCGGAAAGGAGACAGGAACCCATGTGCAATGCACTTTGCATAGAAAGGCATTTTGGTTGTCACGGCCTCCCAGGAATTCCACTCATGTCCTTCACATAGATGGGAAAAGTAAAGCTCAGAGAGGCTCCAACTAGTTTATATTCTAACTGGCTCTGAAAAACAAACATGTTAAAATCAATAAAATAGACAAGAAAATAGGAAGAAATGGGAGAATACAAGACGCTAAATGAAAATTTAGGCTGGGCCCAGTGGCACCCGTCTTTAATCCCAGCGGCTGGGGAGGCCGAGACAGGAGGATCTCCAGTTCAAAGCCAGCCTCAGTAGTGGTGAGGGGCTAAGGAACTTAGTAAGACGCTGTCTCTAAAGAAAATACAAAAAAGGCTGGGGATGTGGCTCAGTGATCCAGTGCCCCTGAGTTCAATCTCAGGTACTCCCCCGCCCCCAAATGCATGTGGATTAAATAAATTGTTAAATACATTAAAGTAAAATGATTTAAAAATATAAATAAATAAATAAATAAACAGAAAGAGAAAGGAAAAAAGAAGAAGAAGCTGTAGCAGCTAGAGTTAAGGCCAGTACATTACAAATGCTTTCCATAAGACATTGTATAGTCCATAGCTGTCAATCACAAATTTATCTCTGAGATTCCTAACGGCCAGGGCAAAAGAGGGAAACACCATCAATATTATTAGAGAAAAATAAAAGTCTTTGCTTAGAGGCTGAGAACTGTTAACTGATTTTTCCAAAGTCTCTCAGCCAGGTCAGCCCCCCACAGTGTTTAGTGGGGTCAGACAACCACACTAGGGACACTGTGTTAAATACCAGAGTTATCTGGTGTAAACAGGGTCTGGTATCCATGAGATCTAAGCTAAGGACTTGGTGTGTACCATGGTCAGGTTAAGATAGAAAGAGAGAGCTGGGTGTGGTGGCAGGTGCCTGTAATCCCAGTGACTCGGGATGCTAAGGCAGGAGGATTGCAAGTTTTTGAGGCCGGCCTCAGCAATTAAAGTTGCCCTAAGCAACTGGCAAGACCCTGTCTCAAAATTTAAAAATTAAAAACATAAAAGAGGGCTGGGGATGTAACTCTGAGGTAAAGTAGACTAAATCCTCAGTAGAGAAAGAGAGAGAGAGAGAGAGAGAATCTTCTGTCTCCATAGACTACAAATGAAGGGATAAAAATACTCAAAATACTCTGATAGTCAGGCTGTAGTAGATTCTCCGAGAACCAAGAATCCCAGGGACCCAAAGAAGAGAGAGCTTCATGGGGAGCCCTGATTTTCCCAAGGTCTGGAGCTGCTTGTTCTGCCTTTCCTATGGGGATAGCCAGCCTAGCAAGATAGGCAGGAGCCACCCCAGGGACTGTGCCCCAATTAATTCTCATTAAGCATAATCACATTTCAGATTCTAAGATGGGCCTAGAGCCAGGCTGTGGGCTAGACGCAGGGAACTCCACGGGGCTCTCCCAACCCTTATCACCATTGCAAGGGGAAGAAGAGGCAGTTGGAGGTTTGCCCAGTGCTTCACGCTCATGCCACCCTCTCCCTGAGGGTGGGCCAGGGCTGGAGGGGTTGCTGATTTGTACAGCAGAGAAAACCACAGATAGTATCTAACCTCTCTGGCTGTCTTCAGGCAGGTCGGCGGGACCAGGAGTTCAGCAGTGTGTGCCTTCTCTCTCGTGGATATTGAGAACGTCTTTAAGGGGAAGTACAAGGAGTTAAACAAAGAAACTTCACGCTGGACTACTTATAGTGACAGTGAGATCACCCCCCGCCCAGGCAGCGTGAGTAAATTCTACCCCTGAGCAAAGCCCCTACAAAGAGGCATGGATATAATGTGTGTGCAGAAGCAACTGTCCTACCGTGGGAAGTGCCCAGTAACTTAGTTACCTACCAGTCCTGTCTGGAGCTGGGTGGGTTTCTTACAAATGCTGACGTTGGCTCATTTATATTCTACCTAGCCCAGCTGCCCATACCCCACAGGTGTCCGATGCCATCCTACATCCAGCACAGTTGCTAGGCACTTCCTCTCCAAGACTAAGTGCACACCAAATATCTGGATATTAAGGCAGATATATGGGCTGTGTGTCAGACTGGCTTGGGCATCTTCACCTGCATTTCTTATGTGATTTTCTTTAAAATCAGAGTTATATATAACTAATTTAAAAAGTCAAAACGATCTACAGAATTGGTTCCAAAAAACAGCCCTATCTGGGCATGGTGGCACATGCCTATAATCCTAGCTGCTGGGGAGGCTGATACAGGAGGATGACAAGTTGAAGGCCAGCCTGGGTAATTTTGTGAGACCTGGGAAACTTACTACATGGCTCAACTGTGAGAAATAGCATGCATAATATAATATTAGTCTACCAGGCACAGTGGTGCATGCCTGTTTTCCCAGCAGCTCAGGAGGCTGAGGCAGGAGGATCTTGAGTTCAAAGCCAGCCTCAGCAACATAGCAAGGTCCTAAGCAACTTAGCAAGTTCCTATCTCTGAATAAAAAATAAAAAGTGCTAAGGATATGACTTAGTGGTTAAGCACCCCTGGGTTAAATCCTTGGAGTGTGCACACACACAGACAATATATATAAGTGTGTGTGTATATACACACACATATATATAACATAAAAAATAATATATATGTAACATAAAATGATTATTTTTGCCTTTTTGCATAAATTTTGATTCTCCTGAGGTTAGTAATTATCTTTTTTAAACTAAATTATTTATTTATTCTAATTTGTTATATATGATGGCAGAATGCAATTCAATTTATATTACACATATGGAGCACAATTTTTCAAGTCTCTGGTTGTACATAAAGTACTTTTACACCATTCATGTCTTCTTACACGTACTTAGGGTAATGATGTCCATCTCATTCCACCTTCTTTCCTACCCCCATGCCCCCGTCTTCTCCTGCCTCCCCTCTGCCCTATCGAAAGTTCCTCCATTCCTCCCATGCTCCCCCCCATCCCCATTATGAATCATTATCCTCATATCAAAGAAAACATTCAGCCTTTGGTTTTTTTGGGATTGGCTTACTTCACTTAGCATAATATTCTCCAAATCCATCCATTTACCTGCAAATGCCATTATTTTGTTCTCTTTTAATGCTGAGTAATATTCCATTGTGTATATACACCACAGTTTCCCTATCCACTCATCTACTAAGGGCATGCAAATTGGGGCAGCCAATCTGGAAACACTATGGAGTTTCCTTGGAAAACTGGGAATGGAACCACCATTTGACCCAGCTACCCCACTCCTCAGTTTTATACCCAAAGGACTTAAAAACAGCACACTACAGGGACACAGCCACATCAATGTTGATAGCAGCACAATTCACAACAGCTAAACTGTGGAATAATTATCTCTTTTTTTTTTTTTCCTGCTTGCTTTGTTTTCTAAGTTCTTATCTCTCCTTCAACCTCAGACTCCTTCTGAATTATCTGAGTATCTCTGAAGACAGACCTGTTAGCTAGTTAGCAGTTTCATGTTCCTGGAGAGCTTCACATCTACCCCTGTCTAGACAGGTGCCCCTTTGCAATCCTGGAGTCCCCCTTTGTCATCATCCTGGGGATTCCCTGGGCATCTTCCTGACACATACTGTGACTGTGTTTTTTGCATTCCGTGGCTTCCTCTTTTTTTTTTTTTTTTTGTACCAGAGATTGAACAACCAGGGCCACTTTACCACGGAGCCACATTCCCAGTCCTATTTATTTATTTATTTATTTATTTATAATTTTAAGACAGGGTCTCACTCAGTTGTGGAGGGTCTCTCTGAATTGCTGAAACTGGTCTTGCACTTGCAATCTGCCTGCCACCGCCTCCCCAGTTGTTGGGATTATGGGCATGTACCACCACACCCCCCTAAATTAAATGTTGTTAAAGAGGAGGCCCTGGGTTTAATCTCTCACACTGAAAAAAAAAATTCTACTGAACTATTTCTCCTCCTTCCTTCCTGTCATCTTTCTTTCTCTTTTGTTTCTTTCTTTTTCTTTTTTTTCTTTTTTTTTTTTTTTTTTTTGAGATGGGGTTTGTTTTGATGCTCAGAGGCTGGCCTCAGAATTCTAGACTCCAATGATCCTCCAGCCTCAAGCCTCCCAGTGGCTAGGACTACAGGTGCACACCACCACATCCACAGTGTAGATATGGATATTTCCTTTCCATTTTCTCTTGAATTTATTTGTTTGTCTTAGAGTTTTCCACAGTCTGGATCTTGATTGCATCTGGTGTAGTTTAAGTATTTCTTGTAAATTGTTCAGTGGTTGAATCTAGAGATTTAATCAGATTCAGGTTTGATTTTTAAAAAAAATCATAACCACAGCTATTTTATTTTTTTATGCGTTTTTTTTTTGTTTGTTTGTTTGTTTTTTGTTTTTTTTGTGGTCCTGGGGATTGAACTCAGGGCCTTAACATGCAAGGCAAGCACTATACCAACTGACCTATATCCCCAGCTTTGATTTTTGTGGGCAAGATTGCTACATTGTGGTTGTTTGTACTTCCTTCTGGCTACATGCAAAGTCTAGCTGCCCAGTGAAGTAAAGATTCCTCTTTTGCAGAATTCTATTCTTGCCTTCTGAATGTTCTTTTCTAAACTTTTTGCATTTTTTTAAAAAATATTTTTGAGTTGTCAGTGGACCTTTATTTTATTTATTTTTAATGTGGTGCTAAGAATCAAACCCAGTGCCTCACACATGCTAGGTAAGTGCTCTGCCACTGAGCCACAGCCCCAGCCCTTCTAAATATTCTATCTCTACTCACTTTTCTTAGGATAGTAATGATAGTTTTCTGTGATATTTTCTTCTCCCTGAATCATTTCTGTTTCCTCTTAGGTGTTTCTTTGTTCTTTCCTCCACCCCTTTGTTTGGTTTCTTTCTTTCATGTTTGTAGCTTTACTTAGAAGTCTGGTCGTCCTTGAGATCTACTCTGCATATGTGTTTTGGTACTGGGGGGTTGAAACAAGAGGCACTTTGCCACTGAGTCACATCCTCAGTTCTTTTTATTTTTTTTTAAATTTTATGTTTTTTATTTTATTTTATATTTTATTTTGAGATTGCTGAGGCTGGCCTTAAACTTGTCATCCTCCTGCTTTGGCCTCCCTAATTGCTGGTGTTACAGGAGTATACCACCATGCCTGGCTGTTCTGTCTGCTTCTTAAACTGACTTTCAAATATTCTTTTTTTATTTATTCTCCCTTTAACTTCACTTCCAGAGGTAGCTCAGTCCATAATGTACACACTTTAGGAATTCTATCTTTTAAATCAGATGGTTTAGGGGGTCCCCCTAGGGGTACCTGAAGAAGGTTCTTCTCTCTCCCGTAAATCATAAGTCGTTTGTTCATTTGCTTAACAGCGTCTAAAATGTGAATGTTGTTTGCTTTCATTCCTTTTCTCTCCACACCACTCTGCTGTAGGTTTATGACTTTAAAAAGAAATCCCTCCAGGTACAGTAGCACATGCCTGTAATCCCAGAGGCTGGGGAGGCTGAGGCAGGAGGATTGTGAGTTCCAGACCAGCCTCGGCAATTTAGTGAGGCCCTAACCAACTAAGAGAGACCCTGTCTCTAAATAAAATATTAAAAAAGGCTAGAGGTGTGGCTCAGTGGTTAAGCATCCCTGAGTTCCATCCCTGGTACAAAAACCAAACAAACAAATAAACAAAAAAGAAATCCCTTTGGGCTGGGTTTGATGGTGCATACCTGTAATTCCAGCAATTTGAGAGGCAGAGGCAGGAGGATTGCAAGTTTGAGGCCAGCCTTGGCAATTTAGCAAGATCTTGTCTCAAAATAAAAAGGGCTATGGTACAGTGCCCCTGGATTCAATCCCCAATTCTGAAAAAAAAAAAAAAAATCCCTTTGGGAGGGGGTGAAAGTAGGCGTGTGTGTTCTAACCGGCATCAAAATGGGATGTAGATGCTATTACCTCACTTTACAGATGAGGAAGTTGAAGTTCAGAGAGGTGAAATAACTCACCTAAGTCTCCAGTGGTAGGTGACAGAGTTTGGGCTGTCATCGAGAGATGCTCTTGGTTGTGGAAAACAAGGATCCTGACTGATGATCAGGATAAAGGTGTCCCAGAGCCCCAGCATGCCTGTGTTGGCGGGGCCTTTCAAGAACAGCTGGTCCTACCCCCTCATTTATGGGTGAGAAAAAGGAGGCTCAGATGGAGAAGGGACTCTCCCAGAGTCATGCATCAAGTTCATGCAAAACTGTGATGAGAAACACTGCGTGCCACACCACCCCTTCCTGTGATGTCCCCCATGCAGTCACCGACTCAGCAAACACTTCCTGAGCACCTCATGCCAGGTCCTGTACTGTACCTGGGGCTAGAGACATGGGCAAAACATGGTCATGGCCTGCAAGAAGTCTCTCCTGCTTCCTGCTGACTGCCAGGCATCTCTGATGCAGGTGCGAGGAGGACAGCAGTAACTGCTAACCTTTCCTATGTACTGGGCATTGAACCCAAAGGGGCTTAATCACTGAGCCACATCCTCAGCCCTTTTAATTTATTTTATTTTTGGCAGGGTACTTGGGGATTGAACTCAGGGGCACTCAACCACTGAGCCATATCCCCAGCTCTATTTTGTATTTTTTTATTTAGAGACAGGGTCTCACTGAGTTGCTTAGTGCCTGGCTTTTGCTAAGGCTGGCTTTGAACTCTCGATCTTCCTGTCTCAGCCTCCCGAGCTGCTGGGATTACAGGTGTGCGCCACCGCCCCTGGCAGCCCTTTTTATTTTTATTTTTTATTGTTTTGGTACTGGGAATTGAGCTTATGGCCCCTTAACCACTGAGCCACATCCCCAGCCCTTTTTGTTCTTTATTTTGAGACAGGGTCTCGCTAAGTTGCTTAGGGCCTTGCTAAATTATGGAGGCTGGCCTGGAACTTGCGATCCCCCTGCCTCAGTTTGCCGAGTTGCTGGGATTACAGGCATGTGCCACTGCGGCCGGCAGCAGTTAACCTTTCTTGAGGACTTACCGCCTGCCAAGCACTGTTTTGATTATTTATATTAGTGCATTTCATCCTCACGGGGGGCCTGTGAGGTGGGTATTGGCGACATGCCCAGTTCATCACTGAGGAACCTCAGGCATGCTGAGGCCAGGACTCAAAGCCAGGCAGCTCCAGAATCTGAGCTTTAACCACCCTCCTAAGATAAGAGAAGGCAAGGGGAGGAAGGGGAGGGAAGGGGCAATGGATGGGCTGAAGAGACGGGCCAACCAACCTGACCTGCCTCCTTCCTCCATCAGTGCTCCGTGGGTCCCTCCTCTGATAAAGTCTTGACCTTCATGAAGGACCATTTCCTGATGGATAAGCAGGTAGTGGGCACGCCCCTGCTGGTGAAGTCTGGCGTGGAGTACACACAGCTCGCCGTGGAGACAGCCCCGGGCCTTGATGGGCACGATCATCTGGTCATGTACCTGGGTACCTGTGAGTAAGGGGCTCGGGGCACTTCCTAGAGCAGGGGCGAAGGAGGGAGGACCTTTCAGTCCAGTCACTCACTTAGGGTTTTACAGATGTTCAGTGCACCTGGCGCTCTGCTGGTCTCCAGTACTCTGTTCTGGAAATCCAGTAGGGGAACAAGACAATCCAGTCCCTACTCTTTCTGTGCTTTCGGTTTTCGAGGGGACACAGGGAGGTCTTTGATGGTGCTAGCGAGAGCTGCTTGATTTGTGGGGAAAGCCGAGTTAGAGGGTGAAGAGTGAGTGTGTAGAGGAGAATCGGAAACAGTGTATAGAGATCACTCCTTTTTTCTTTTCTTTCTTTCTTTTTTATTTTATTTTATTTTATTTTTAGTGCTGGGGACTGAACTCAGGGTCTTGTGCGTGCTAGGTAAGCACTCAACCACTGAGCTACACACTGTCCCTGAAAGAGACCTGAGATCACTCGTTCAGCTGGGAGAGTAGCTCAGTGGTGAAGTGTTTGTGTAGCATGCATGAGCCTCTGGGTTGGATCCCCAGCACCGCCTGTTGTCAGGCTTCTTTTTTCTTAGAGATGCGAAAGATGAAAAGAATCCAAGAGGGGCTGGGACTCAGGGGTAGAGCGCTTGCCTAGCATGTGTGAGGCATTGGGTTTGATTCTCAGCAATGCATATAAATAAATAAAATAAAGGGAAAAATATAAAGAATCAAGGAGACCGGGTGATGGTAAAAAGAGAGTAAAAGATGGTAAAAAGGCAGGCGCTGGGCATGGTGCCCCACGCCTGTAATCCCAATGGTTTGGTGGGAGCTGAGGCAGGAGGATCACAAGTTCCAGGCCAGCCTGGGCAACTTACTGAAATCCTGTCTCAAAATAAAAAATAAAAAAGGGCTGAGGATAAAGCTCAGTTGGTAGAGTGCTTCCTTTGCATGCACAAGGCCCTGGGTTCAATCCCCAGCAGAACACACATAAAACAATAATAATAAAATAAAAGGGCTGAGATATAGCTCAGTGATAGAGCACCCCGGGTTCATTCCCCAGTATCACAAAACAAAACAAAACATCAGACACAAATCTGTGTCCTTACAGAGTAGGCAAAGACAGACAATAAGCATCCAGAGTAAGTAAATCACATAATATCATAGTATGTTAGTTATGACATTAGAAAACCCAGTAGAGCGTTGTAAGGAGGAATCAGGAATACCAGTAGAGGTTGCAATTAAAAAAAGATATTTTAGGCTCCTCCCCATAGTGTGCCAGGCTCTCTTACAGTTGCTGTGGAGGATTATGTTGTTAAGGGACATTCTGCTCACCGGTACTCCAAGCTTTGAAAAAACTACACTATGCAAAGAACTTGTATCAAGATCAGGACTGAGGGCTGGTGATATAGCCCAGTTGGTAGAGTACTTGCCTTGCACAGACAAGGCCCTGGGTTCAATCCCCAGTGCCACACACATACACACACACACACACAAAAAAAAACAAGATCAGGACTGAAATACATGAAATCAATGTGGGTGATTTGGCTCGAGAAGTTTGATCACCGGATATCATGGAGTCTGGCAAGATGGCTTCTCCCACGAACATTACAGAAAGACACAGAGATGATGGCACAAATCGTGAAGGATATGGGGATTGCAGAACATAAGCCAAGAGTTATAAATCAGATGTTGGGATTTGCCTTCTGATATGTGGCCCCAATTCTAGATGATGCTAAAATTTATCCCCGCCATGCTAAGAAGCTACTGTGGATGAGATGGTGAGCGATTGGCAATCTGGCGTGGAGCTGACCAGTCTTCACCTTTCCTCCCCCGAGAGATTTTTTTTTTATTAGATATTGCAAGGCAAAGAAATCAGATTCCTTTGCCATTGATCAAGCCATATTCAGATCCTAGATTGTCTCCTGATAGGTATTGCTCAACAGCTACAAAGTATAGGCTCACGTTTTTACAAAAAAAAAAAAAAAGGCATGTACTTCTGTGGGAAGAATAACAGTTCCGTGGTTAAGTGTTGGTTCAGTTACTAGCAGACCAAGGACTCCCACACTGGGCACACCAACCCTACAAACCATGTTGTCCCATGTCTGTTTCAGCCAAGTAGGGACTCCAACGTCTCCATCAGGGCACGGGTTTACGAACAGAAGCCTCAATTCCTGCAGCATCAGCAGTTCAGAATGT